ATTTGCGAGGTGATGCAAGAATTAAGGAAAACCGAAAAGTGGACGCCAGATTGGGATACAGTTTTGATACATTTAGCTTGCTGTAAAATGGATACCGCTAGCAGAAGAAAGTGGAATTGCAGACAAACACCAACGTTTGACCATCTTTTACAGTTTTTGGAAAATTCCATAACTTTAAAATCGACTCCATCAACATCAAATGGAAATGGATTGTTTTGCGGAAAATATATGGATTTTACATTCATCAGGAAGAGTTTGGCACAGGCAAAAAGCATTCAAGCAGAAATGAGTGGAATTCGTGTTCCGGAAAATCGCCATCTTTCTCACAGCTTTTGCAATTTTTGGAGAAATGCATTTCTTTCTTTCTTTAATTTCATATATTTATTGATCTATGTTACTTTTATTCTCTATTAATAATTATTTTTTTCTGTTAATTAAATAAATAACAAATAATTAGAACCAATACTTTTTTTGTGTCTCATTTCTATATATACTCTGGAAACTGTATTAATATTTCGAAGAATTTTTTTAAATAAAAAGAAATATATTTTCTAATAATACAACCAAATATTATTTATGCCTCATTTATTCATTTATTTATTATTTATTTGTCTTAAATTAATCTAAAAATTACATCTAAATTGCTAAGACATTCATTCTTATTATTTGTTAATAATTATAATAACAATAATTAAAACATAAAATCTTACATAATAAAAAACCAATTATATATGTATGTTTAATATGAATACATTAAATTTATAAAAATATGGAAACAAATAGAGGCGAAATTAATTATTAAGGAAAAACAGGGTTGTAAAATGAAACTTTTGCAATCACAGATGGACAATGAAATGAATGAGGTTCAGCCAAGTCGATGGACAATGACAGTGTTAAGGATAGCATCAGATTCACAGTGCAAGGAAATAGTGGAATCGCAGAGCATCAATATACTACAAGACAACAGCCACCCTATAAATTAAAAATCATCATAATGGTAACTATCCACCTGGAAAGATTACCTACCTAATGTCAACAGCGATCTTAAGTTTACTCAATGTTCACATTGATGAACAAATTGTAAATATAATACGACATAAAAAAATATTTGTTTTTAATTAAAAAAATGAATATTATTTGATATATTAACTTTTTTTACAAGCGAATATACTATTATTTAATCTAATTCCTTAGATAATCTGAATGAAAGCTCTATATGAAAATATAGATCCAATTATAAATTAAGATCATTCTTATTAAGTAAATAAATAAAATAAGATTGAAACAAAAAAAAATGAAGTGATGGAAATATAATGTGTTCGTTTTAGTTATTTATAGAAATGGATTTTTTATTTTTGTCATTTAGTAGCATATTTTTTTGTTAGAATTTTAATTTATTAATTTTAATTAATTAAACGAAAATACAATTATTAATATCCTTAAGTGATGCAAGATACTAAAACATACTTGCAATTAATAAAGTGTTCATTTAGTATTCAAAACAGGAAGTGGGAAGGATCAAACGAAAATTGTGAAATAAATCATTGACGATGGCAGCGTTAAATATCAATTAACACCTCGACATGAAACATCCACATGTTTTTGGGTATGAATAAATGAGGAGTGAAAGGAGCGCACAGCCCTATTCTCGAAGTGGAGACGTTCTCTGCGACGCATGAATTATATAAATGCGACATTGAGGTCGGGGGTGGCGACGGGCTTTGGACTCGCCGCGCCACCATTCACCTCCGCTCATTCGCTCCACTGAAGCAACAGAGTAATACGCAGTTGTTTCAGTGCCGTGCAATTTGGGGTTGACCAGGGTGATGCCAACACCCTAACACCCCAACTTCCATCAACAAAACGCCAATAAAATATTTTCAGATGAACTTCCGATTGAAAAAGCAACTAGAAAATGTTATACTTGATTTCCAATTGAACAACTGATTATGCAAGGTTGTGTGCACGCCAATGATATTATTCCCCCTGACGATGACGAATACCTAGAAGCCCCTCATTATGGCAATTTATTCCTCATTTTCCTCTCTAATCAAATAAGCTGAATGCGACATAATTATACAGACAGCTAGCCTCTCTACAATTTCACAAACATGGCTACTAATTAAATAAACTAGGATGCACTTGTAATAACTCATGCGTTGTAGTGAATACAGAAACACAACAAATATAATTTTAATTAATCGCAAATAAACTATTTTAGCAAAACAACAAATTTGATCATTCCTTAACAATTACTCAATTCTATTTTATAATTATTATTTGTACTTTAAACATTTGATGATTAAGAGATGTTAATTGGTATTTTAAGTTATTTTCAAACAAACTTTTATATTTATTTAATACAGATTTGTTAGTTGAACATATGAAAACAATAGTGATTCCATATCAATAAAAAATTATAGCTTCCAGCTCGAGTATAAATTCATAAAATATATATTTATACAAAACGCTTGCAATATATTTTTATACTTTGGGACTTGTTAGGGAAGGCAACTGAAATCAAGTAACTTTTTTCTGTGAATAGTTCGAGGAATAGTAAAGTCTGGAAAGCTTTCCTCGCTCGACGTGCCCGAATTCGTGGGGAAATTCTCATGAATGCGGGAACGTAAAATTTTACGTTGTAAAATGTAATATTTCATAAGTTACGGCGCCACAATCTCCTATATAAATAATGTTACGGCCGTTTCGTGAATACGATATTTAAGATTATCGCATTTGAGTTCTTAAAACTTTTATAGATATATTGTAATATAATATATATGTAATATTATCGTAATCTTAAAATACAGCTATATTGCATTTAATGTTTAGTTTATTATTCTTGATAATATTTCATATGAAAATTTAAAGATAGTGATCATAGCAAGCATATTTATAAGGATCTAATACAATTGTTAATTTTTACTGCTTTATTGTATTTTTCAACGTAAACATCTGTTTTTACATCTATTATAAAACTGATTTTCCTTATTTCTTGCTTGAAATTGTAAGGAAATTGAGAAAAAAATAACTAAATAATTCCCATTTATTTAAAAATTAATTTATTTATCAAAACTATTTTATATAATTGTAATAATAATAATATTTATTATTTTAACACAAAAAAAAATATATTTTTGTTAATAGCCTTTTTCAGCAATTAAATTTAGTTTTATTTTTGTTATTATATTGTTGTGTTAAGTTTATATTATGTTTTTTGCAATAAATATTATTATTATTATTATAATTTATTAATAATCAAAATAAAAAAAAAACACATATTAGAAACGACTATGATTTACCGTTCAAGATTTTTTTGTAACATATTTTATTTTCTTATATCTTCTAAGATAGTAGTCACTTATAACCTATATTTGTTTTTATCGTATTATACACATATACTACGTTTATGACAAGTCGATCACGACACATTTTTAAGATAAATAATAGTTCTTCTGTTCACAAAAGTTGATCTCCCTTGATATAAGGTTTTAGTAACAGAGATTTCAATAAAACCCTATGAATGGAACACTTCAGACGTTAGAATGCTGTGGAGATGATTTATATCTGTTGACATATATTTAACTACTTTTAAAAATTTTGTTTTGTTACTTATAATATGTAATATAAGACACTGCTATTATTAATTAATTAATAATAACAGTGCAATGTTTATGGCATAATTTCACATTAGACAATAATTGAAAGTAATTTTAAATATAAAACTGTAGAGTATTTGATAGTAAATACATTTTACTTCCTTTTTTAAATATAAACAATATATTTTTATTATATATTTATAGAACCAACAGATTTTTTTAGTCAATAAAAAAAATAAATGGTAATCAATTTTTAAATGTAGTTTGATTATAAATAAATTTATACAATAATGTATGTAGTGTCTGGTATATATAATTTTCATGATTTAAATAAAGTGAGAAGGACAATATGTATTTCATATTTTTGTCCTCTTTAATTTTATAGTTAATAATATCAAAAGTTTTTTCAATATTTATTATACTTTTAAAGTCATGGTATAATTATTATATCCCGGCGTATCCACCATTCAATCTAAATTAAAGGATCAGTGACAAAACTGTCAGTGCATTTTTGATTGCAAAAATTATAGGTCGTATAAATATAAACATACCTAAAACTATACACGTATACTAAATACTATATTTAATAATATATCTATATATTATCTGGGCGACTAATAACCGAATGGTTCAGTCGCCCTACCCACGTGCCAGTGGTCACAGGTTCTGATCCAGGTCAAGCCAGGCAATAGGGCAATAGGGCCATCGTTCATCATAGATGGATAGTGAAATGAATGAGGTTTATCATGTAGACCTTTAGCCAAGTCTATGGACAATGACAGTGTTAAGGATAGTAGCAGATTCACAGTCAAAAGAAGTAGTGGAATCGCAGAGCATCAATATACTACTGAAGTTTTTAGGTTAACAACAGCCAACCAACAAATTAAAAAATTCAAATCATCATAATGGTGACTATCAACCGAAAAAGATTACATATCTAATGTCAAGCGCGATCTTAAATTTACTCAATGTTCACATTGATGAACAGATTATAAATAAAATTACACGACTTAAAAATAAATATATTATCTACTACAATTATATATCGAATAGAATTTACACAAAAAGTAAAATGTGACAGTTTTATTTTGCATCGAACTAAATTTACCATTACATTTTTTCAACAAATTTCCTTCCATTTCAGTGAAACCTGCCCGACGCAAGAATATTTGTGCTCAATCGATTTTATTCGCAAATTGTGTTATGAAACGTTTTAATGAATGTCGCATATTCTAGTTTCGCGATGTGTGCTACTAATAAACCGTAACAAACAGGAAAAAAAATGTAGGCGTGGGTTATTAAATGAACGCGGAGGATCCAATTTACTCATGCAAATTGAGTGATAATTCGATTTTTGTACGTGCTAGTCTAGGGATGGGGGACTTGTTGACAGTTCAGAGTTTATTCTAGGATGTAGCTGAAATTTCGCTTGATTTCGATGACGACAATTGTGTAGGTGGTGATGCAATTGACCAAAGAGAATAGGATCGGGTAATCTATGTGGAAAAAATCGAAGGCGGAAAAATTCGGTTGCCTATAGTTCACCATCCTTGCGAGAAGTAACAGCTCATCTATTACGTTCCTCCATCTAACATTATTCTTCGCCCTTGCCTTTTTTATGAGCTCGTAACAAACGGCCTTCGTGCGTTTCGCCTCCCTGCAGGCTTGACCACAAGAAATCGTAATCATAAATGTGAAGACCTACAACAACAAAAATAGTTTAATTCAAGATTATTTTATAATGCATGTAAGGATAAATGTTTTAACATTATTATTTTATATAATTTATAATTCCAAACTCAATAATTCAAATAAAAAATACTTTACTTAGTTATTTCAATAACTATATATAGTTATTTAATATTAACCATTATTTGAATTATTTATATTTTCAGAAAGGTTTTTTGTTCTATCTTGGAACAATGTTTTATTCAGGAATCTCATCGCATATATGTAGAACCTTTTTTCCAAGGGATTTATATTTTTCTTTAGAGATTGAGTATTTATTTATTCAAGACCTAATAACTCTATATTAAGTATTAGCATGGTATAATCATGGTAAAATCGCATTTTGCTTTTTCTATTAAGTCCCCTATCTCTAAATAATAATAATTTATTGGCCAAACATCAATACATAAGAAGAAAAAAATGTAATTTATACATAAATAAATTTTAACATACAATAAAAAAAAAAAATTACGTATCCACTATACAAGAGCAAAGAAGATAGTATAGAAATACTTATAATACTAAACATGCACACATCATAATAGAACATACTTCAGATATACAATATCAAGGTCTGTCGCATTGCTTGTGCTTTCATAAGTAACTTATCAAGTCGTGCGTAAACTCATATATTTTCAATAGAAAAAGAACAATACTACAAATATTAATCAAAATCGTACGGCTTTGATCAATCCGGATTTACTATAGTCTGTTGTGAAAATTTCAAAACAAACTAAATTTTACTTGACCAAATAAATTATAATAGAATAGTAACAATGTTCTTTTTTCTAAACAAATGATCATCTTATTTCTAATTCATTTAGTTCTTCGATTAGTTCGCTTTTAAATATTCATGATATTTAAGGAATCTACTAACCGCATATACGTCAAATGGTTACAAATTTTAAAAGTTTATAACCATGTCTATTTAATTTAGATACCCTTTTCCATCTTGGATCAAATGAACTGGAACTATAATAGAACAACAATAAGAAGTATTTTTGAAAGGGATTCTTTCTCGTTGAAGTTTTCTTTTATTCGAAAACATTGTATAGAATTAATCAGGAAATCTTCCTTTCTTTCATTCATTGATCAAAATGTTTTACTAAAAAAAACCTTTACAAAAGAAATTTCATTCCGATGGAAATTAAATTTAATTACTTTGTGTAATGGATTACTAAGGTTGAGATGCTACTATTATTTAAACTTTAAAGTAATTGCTCACATAAAATATATTAAAATATCTTAACTGAATTATTTAAAAAATAGTTCTTTCATAAATATTTTAACTAATAATAGTTAAGTCTGTCACTGATCATACAAAAAGTCTGTCAAGAATCTTTCGAACTTTTTTTTATATGATCAATATAATTTACATTTGGAATCCAATTTTGGTAACATATTTCATGTTTTTCAAAATTTCTATGATTGATTAAGTTAAATTTCATTATATTAAATAATCAATTTCATGTTGACCATATATATATATAATGTTAAATTTCAATAAATATATAAAAAAAATAAATTGTGTAGTACAAAATAACTTTATATACATAATGCAGAATATATTTGGTGTGTTTCCAATCTTTGATTTACGTTATCCATATAAAATAAATATTTCCGCAATATAGAGTTCATGCATTCCAAGCGGCAAAGTGTCGCAGTGATCTTTTACTATCCAAACAGAAAGATCAAGTGTTACAATATATTTGTTATATTAAATTTTTCTATGCGGAAAAAGGATTCAGGAGTAGTATGTACATATTTTATATTGCTTTAACACAAAGGTCTGGTTATATGATTATTTTTTATATTATTGCTTTGATGATATATTTATGTTAACATAAGTTCATCATTAAAATAATATTACATAAGAAAGTCCTATGGCCATAATTATAAACTTGTATTTATTTTTGTTTACTTTTGATGACTGTTGTAAGAAATATTATTAAATTCTGTTATATTAGAAGAGGCCAACTTTTTAGTAAATGTCCATTTTAAGAACGAACGAGTTAGCACCATTTCTTTGTGTAAAGTAGACAAGTCTAAAAATTTCATATTTATCTTTATGTAAATTCACTATTTTCTATTCATCAATTGTCTTTATACAATCAAGTAAAATTTGTGCTATTTGTTATTCTCAATTAGTCCGGTTTCTAACAGTAGTACGCGAGGTATTGCTGTGCTTTCAACATACTAATTAGAATTGGTAAAAAGTATTTTAATATTAAATATGTTTTTATAAAACTTACAAAAATGATGATGACTTTGAGGAATATTCGTCTGAAGAACATCTCGAAACTCATGTTATATTTGAATGTAAAGTAATTGATTCCGAAATTGATGCTCTTAATTATAGTCAGCAAAACGACGAGATAGATTGCCATGATCCGTAATCCGAAGATTTCGCTGTGCTCGTCGATGACGTCACAAAGTTCATCGTAAACGAGCGTAAACCTTCTAATTTCGGCTGGGGAGATTGAGCGTCGGAGACGACAGTTAAATACCGTGAAACGGTGCCTCAATATCAACGCTACATTGTATATTAACAGCACAGATAAAGTCATCATGAACAGATGTAAGATGTGGCTAAGAGCTAAAACTAAATTATACTGTTGCATACAATAAATGTAGTAGGGCAAGGCCAGTCCATTTATAACGATGATCTCCAACCAATATACGTAATAGTGGGTCCTGCAGTGTAGACCATCGATACTTAGATAGAAAGCGTCGATCTCGGAAATATTCCGCATCAGCTTTGAACACACATTAGGACATAGCATTACCAAAGCCACGAATACCATGTTGCAAATGGCATTCAAGAAATATATTGCAACCTCTAAAGCGTAGTAAATAGTCTTCTTGGATTCTATTTCGCGTATGTGAAGGACCATTCCTATAGCCAGGAAGATAATGATCACGGCATTCGCTAACTTTAACCACTTCTTCGGCTTCCTAACCGCCAACCCAAACCATTCCGAAACTAAGTACAAATGCTTCAAGAACTTTGCCGTTTCGATCTGCATTTTTTATGTGCGCTTCTAGTTGGAAAACCTACTTTATTTTATACTGAACGCTAATTGATCAGCTGGGAATACAATATCGTTTTTCACTATAGAATAGCAATTAGCTTTTATAGCATTGTGCTTTAATCAAACGCGATGGAAGTTGTGTGGCGTTCTTTGTGATGATTTTAAAAATGTATTCTACGTTGGAAACCACCCTTTTTTTTTTTATCAGAATTGCGCACTTTTCTACCGTTCTCTCCATTTTACTTTTTTCCTTTTTTTTATTATTTGTTCATTCGTTGCCGACTCGTTTCCAGTTTTCCTCCGTTCCATTCAATTTTCTCCCCTTAAACTTTCATATCAGCAATAAGCTTCGATTGGTTTCAATTTACCTCGACTTATTCATCTTCCACCTAAGGCGATTCTTTACGGTCTCTGGTTACATCATCTGCCCTCTGCGAAAGAACGCGGCTTCAATTCCAGGCCCTTATAAAGAATATAGTTCGAGGCACAAAGAAGTTTTTTATTTTCACTGCGCATTCTGATGCTTTCATCTTATTCTGTTTTTCTCCCCCACTCGTGAATCTCGAATAAATTGTATATTTTATATTTTCATGGAGAATATACAATCACAAATTCATTATTTAAGAGAAATTTGAAACAATGTATATGTAACATTAGAACTATATTAATAGTAGTATTTATTATTACAACATTTATATAACAGTTAACAACATCAGTAAATACGACAAACTATGCACATATAAATTTATATAAGTAATATTAATTACTAATGAAATATATTGAGAATAAATATTGTTATTTTATCTTAATCCATTGACATCTGTCTACAATAAACGAGTGATAAAATCTTAGCAATTGGTTCGTAATACAAGTAAAAACAAAAGGTTGAGAAACGTAGTTGATCATTATAATACTGTTGTTTAGAGTTTAAAAAATATATCTATACTTCTTTTAATTAATAATAAATCAATTAGAAAAATAAATATTTTTAAACATTGAAATAAATGTTATTATTTATAATTATATAATGAAAACAAGATTGTTTCTAAATTTATTTTCTATATTCTAAATGTATTAATAATTTTCCCTGATCTAAGTAATAATGTGATATTAATTATGTGTTATAGAATAATGAATATTTTATAGAAATTGCTTCAATCTCTGCTTAATGTAGACACGATAATAAAACAGAAAATATGAATATTTTAGCATTTATAAAGTAAGTAGTCGTGTACAAAGAAAAGTAAATAAAAAAAAAACTTTCTGCTAAGATATTTAACTTGGCCTTTATTATTGGTTGTTCTTTCTATGCCGATGTTGACGTCCAATTATGTGGATGAATGCTAATAAGGGGGATGCACATTAACCGAAAGGAGGGAGCTAACTACATATTATGCAGAAAATGTAAAAATGCACGTTGCTCTATTGTGTGGCAACAACAATGAACGCGGAAACTCTCTAGCACACGGAGCGAATGTTAATAATGCGTTTGAAAACTTTTTTGATACGTCTTTTTGTTCGCGAAACCGAGGAGACCAAAGTAATTAAAATTGAATTTTAACGTTTCACGTGGTTTAACATAGTTCGCACAGTACAATTTTTAACAAACTAACTAAAATAATCCCTAAGAACAAAAGGATTAACAAAGTGTAATGCATCTATCCATCAATAAAATTGCCAAACAAAATTATGAAATATTTGGTATTAAAACTTGATACATTTATAAATGAATTCTAATTAACTATTAGAAACAGTGCCATAATAGAAAATAATATATCTACAATAACACCAGCAATTATATAAAAAATGCAAAATAAAAATTACATGAATTATTACAAGTGAATTCAATAATAATGATAGTCTTTATTGTAACAATTACATAAAAAAAACATTTTCATATAATAATAATCAAACTGCTTCAAGTAACTATTTACTTGCAGTGGCTTGATTTTGACCAAATTATAAATAGATTAATACGTATTTTTTTTTGCATTTATCTGTATACAAATTAAGAAAAATGAATATGTTAATATTCAATACGTATTTTTTTATAGACTCTAGTGTTTTGAAGTTCAATAAATAAGTAATTCGTTGTATAACGCCTAAAATAAATTACAAAACTTTTTTCTTCTATCAATATTCAAGTAGGCTTGTGACTTGTTGCAGCAGAACGTGACCTAGACTAAGGAGGATCGTAACATCTTTTAGACTTATGCCCGTAGCTCCTAATGTACCATTTTTGTTTTCAACACGATTTATAAAGGATTTACAAATAATAATATATGATATTTATATATTTCCATGCTTTCGGTAGATATTAAAAGATACAAATCTAAATATCTTCGTAATATTGCTGTATTATATAATATAAATATTCTTTCATACAAATTACTTGAGAAAGTATGCGGAAAGTCAATGGCAATTGTCGTTACTATTCATGTGTTTTTTTTATTTAACACTCTTTTATATACAATTATTTATTGCAATTGAATCTATATGTTTTTTTATTGAACTACAGATGGGAATGAAATTTTATTTTTGGGGACACTTTTAATGAAAATTCATTTGTATAAATACAACAAAAGGAATTGATTTTTTTTTCACTAAATATACCGACATTTAATATATTCATAATCCAATCATACCCTTCAAAATAAAGTTATATTTTTCAGTTTTTACATCCCCTTTTATAATATATCATTAGAATATCCTGTCGGATATGATACTTCCTAAAAATATTACAAGCTGGCGATATTGTTCCCTTTCTTCCTTATTTATGCATGAGCATTCTTATTTTGTCGTTTGTAAAAAAAAACTGTTTTATATAGTATTAGTTAATTGTATTGGAAGCACTTTTTTTCTAAGTTATTTTTTTTCTAATAACTGATTTTGGCTGCTTTGATATTATTTGAATTACTTTTTATAACTCAATATTAATGTACAAAGATAATTTAAGTTATACATTGAATTTGCATTTTGCTAATTATTATATATCATGAATTGAAGATTAATAGCGGACATTACGAAGATTAAATTTAGAGTAGAGAGTTTACTAAGTACTTAAGTGGTTGAATGTATAAATGTAAAATATTACATTTAAAATCTGTGTACTTTTGAAATTATTTATATGTATTCAAGTTTTAAGAGACATTAGAGAGCAGCCAATTAAACTAAAGTATGTGTATGTAATACGAAATAGCTGCTTGTAAAACTATTTAAGGGGAGAACCGTCTCGAGTAAGTTATGCAACGTCGGGGGAGGAAGTTCGCGAATGCACGTAGCAGTCGTAATGGAAATGTGCGCAATATTCGGGTGGAAATTTATATTCTTATTCACGAATTGCAACTAATAACCACGTCACGTGTGATTATGTAATAAGTTTACAGGGGCAGAGCCGAGGGTGGTTGTTGGTAGAGAATATGGGAAGCAGAGTTCAAACATAGATGCGAGCTTGATTTATCGCAAGCGGAATCCTTAATTAGATTCCGTGTTTTCCGTGCATTTGCTCCTCCCTCTCGTCCTCTTCATTTGTCATTTTGATATTGTATTGCGCTGCAAACTACATCACCGTGATGTTCTGGTATATTATTTATTAGATAACATATTTGGCCCTTCTCTAGTTGAATAACGGCTGGCCGGTCTCTCCTCGGAACACTGGAGAACATCCATTAATCTGTCCAACTGTTAATTCTGTTCTTGATTTTCCTCCAAATAAATGTAAACCATTTCGCATTGCCGCAAATGAAATTCCCGTATGACGCTCAAGCGGAGGCTCCTCATATTCCTGTATATATCATTTTCGCATTTTGATATTTGACGGAAGGTAATAAACACAAGGTGGATATCAAAAGGTCGGGCTATAAAGCGAGAGCAGTTACGACGGTGCATGCACTTCGCAGGAGGAACGTGGAAAGAGCCATCCATGGGTTTTGGAACGAGGCTACATCGTGGAAAATATGATAATTCGAATTTATGGACGGCCGAAATGGTTTCAATTGTAATGGCTCGGGGGGAATTATTCATGGCTCTGGAAGCGTTGTCTTAGCGTGCGCCCTTGAGATTTGCATAATTTCCATATGAGAATCAATTCGGTTTGAAAATTTAAAGCGTCGCGCCCATCCCTTCTTACACCCTCACCCACCTCGTCCGCGTCCCGTATTATAAATGCCAAAGGAAACGGTATAAATTATTACATAATTCTATTTAATTGTCCCCGACCGGATGAGCAATTCTCGAGAAGAAAAATTGGTGGATGCGTCGGGCAATAAGTTATGCTCAGCTGCATACTATTTCATTAATTTACATAATATTATAGTTTAAATTAAATTCATTTTGAAGCTAAATTAATTAAATGAGTAATAACATAACTTTAATATAATAGGTTGAAGGTTAAATTGAATGTACTCAAAATAATGATTCTACAAAAGTTGTAAACATTAAGCCTCTTATATATAACAAATTGTTAGTATACATTTAGATCAGGATTTAATAAATTATGTTTAGTTATTAGACGTTTCTTAAAAAATAAGAATAAAATAATTACTAAATAATTAATGTATGTTTTTTTTATGATTTAGATGAAGCATAAAACTATACTATATACTATAGAACTATACACTATAGAACAAGTAAATCAAATAGTTAACCATACTATTAGCCAAAACTTTGATGTTCTACACATTTTGTATGTTATATCAAGTTCAAAAATTTTACTTGTAAGTTAAACTATGTTTAATATCCTTTTTTTATTTTTTAATTACTTATATATTTATTTTTTGTGTAACTATTGCAATATCTTCCTATAAAAATTATTATTATCTATTCAAATTTTGGACTCGTCAAATACTATTGTTAATAGTTGATTTTTTTAATTTATTTCAACAGAGTTCAATAATACCTATAATATACAATTAAATTGATTTAAATCACTCTCTAGGACGACTTATTGCCTAATAATTACGTCGCCCTATCCACGATCCTATGGACGCTGGTTC